AAAGTTCTGATGACCTATTGAGGAGATATTTAAAATACCATTTCGATGAACCATTGTGTAGCTTTGTGCTTAATTATAAACAAACGAGGGAAATAAATAACTTAATGTGTTTCCTTACGTGTTTGTTTATGTCACTGAAGTTATTGTATTTAAGTATAGAGCAATGCACGTTAAATGTCATTAATCTTTGCACTGGTATCAACGCAAAAGTACCACTATACAATTAGCCAATAGGAATATTGGGTTTCCATGTGAGCTAGCACGCACGAACTGACTGACACACATTGTTCTTTTAATTACATTGATAATTACGGCCTGTTATTTAACATTTTATATCAGTCGGTGTATATTTTAAATAACTTATAGATTTTATAACTCAATTTTAAATGTTTATATACAAGCAGTTAGTCTTGCAGTTTTGTCCACTGTCGAATTCGAACGATGGTTTGTTCATAGATTTGAAAAATGTAAACTTGGGACATTCAGTCTCATAAGGCAATCGTACAGGTGTTTAAGTTTAAAAGTAGCTGATACAGCAGCACAACATTAAATGCAGTTTGAAGTACCTCCGTGCTTTAGTAATTCCGAACTTATTATTAATATTACAAAAAAAAATGCTGTGATTTATAATCATTGACTTTTGGAATATCTCGTAAAGTAAGATAACTTCAAGCTTCATTTTTCAAAATAAGGATAATCTTTTGAATCAGTGGAACATAAATATATACTTCTTAACAACCCATTTACATGTTACTCCTTTATATCCGCAGAAACTGAGTTGGCTCTACTAATGACTGGACTATCCCACTTACCTGACTCTGAATCTGTAAAACTGAGTTTGATCTAATTATGACTTGCTAGCCAACTTACCTGATGCTCCTCTGGACCCGAAGAATGTGGGTTGGGTCTATCGATGACTTGCTAGCCAACTTACCTGATAGCTCTCTGGACCTGAAGAAAGTGAGTTGGGTCTATCAATGACTTGCTAGTCAACTTACCTGATATTTTTCTGAACCCAAAGAAAGTGGTTTGGGTCTACTGATGACTTGACTAGTATATTTTACCTGATACTCCTCTGGACCTGAAGAAAGTGAGTTGGGTCTATCGATGACTTGCTAGCCAACTTACCTGATAGCTCTCTGGACCTGAAGAAAGTGAGTTGGGTCTATCGATGACTTGCTAGTCAACATACCTGATACTTCTCTGGACCCAAAGAAAGTGGGTTGGGTTTACTGATGACTTGAACTGTATATTTTACCTGATACTCCTCTGGACCTGAAGAAAGTGAGTTGGGTCTATCGATGACTTGACTAGTATATTTTACCTGATACTCCTCTGCATCTGAAGAAAGTGAGTTGGGTCAACTGATGACTTGACTAGTATATTTTACCTGATACTCCTCTGGACCCGAAGAAAGTGAGTTTGGTCTATCGATGACTTGACTAGTATATTTTACCTGATACTCCTCTGCATCTGAAGAAAGTGAGTTAGGTCTATCGATGACTTGACTAGTATATTTTACCTGATACTCCTCTGGACCTGAAGAAACTGAGTTGGGTCTACCGATGTCTTGACTAACCAACTTACCTGATGCTCCTCTGGACCCGAAGAATGTGGGTTGGGTCTATCGATGACTTGCTAGCCAACTTACCTGATAGTTCTCTGGACCTGAAGAAAGTGAGTTGGGTCTATCGATGACTTGACTAGTATATTTTACCTGATACTCCTCTGGACCCGAAGAAAGTGAGTTTGGTCTATCGATGACTTGAATAGTATATTTTACCTGATACTCCTCTGGACCCGAAGAAAGTAAGTTGGATCTACCGATGTCTTGACTAGCCAACTTACCTGATACTCCTCTGGGCCCGAAGAATATGAGTTGGGTCTACCGATGACTGGGAAATTAGTTTTGTTGACTCCTGCTTAATTCGTCGTTGCTATGAAGTTTAAAAAAAAGGCAGTGAACTAACTATTTGGAACTAGAGAAGCTATATAGTGTGCTCCAACATTTTAACCAACTTGTAACATTTTAATTGAATTTGTCGCATTGTAACTGAACTTGTCACATGTTAACCGAACTCGTACAATTTTATTTGAATTCTGAACAATTTACCTCAACTCATAATATTTTAACTGAACTCGGAACATGTTTAATCGAATGTATCACATTTTATCTTAACTCGGAGTATTTGAACCGAAATCTGTGAACTACTTTTACATAAGATCGAATTGGACCGACAGCCATCGCAAAAAATTGTGATTTTTTAAAAACAATATTTAACTGGGGCTTTCATCGGGTCTCAAATTTTCCAGTTAATGGCTTATAGCGCAAAGGAGCGAAAATCGGATAATTCCATACTTTTCATACGATGGATTGTAATTGTAAAATTGTGCATAATGTACTTTTATTTAGTTTGTAAACTGCATGAATAGAACTAGTACATATTATTGGATATGCAGCATCCCTCTAAGATTTGTTTTCGTGAATCCCCCTCTTCAGAGAGTCGGTATAAAAACAATTTTCTCGAGCCGTTTTTATCCCCAACCCGACCCTGCTTGTACTGACAAAAAATAGCAATCTTATAAAATAGGTTTTTCTATAGAGGAGTAAAAGAACAGAAGGTGGAGATACAGAGGGTTGAGAACGTTATATTAAAACAATTTTGGACCCTCACCACGTCATTACATTCAATGTCGACACGTCTTTTCATACATTATTTGACGATCGTGCATCATGTAAATAGCCCTGAAGCCTACTTTCCATTGCAAAAGGCTCAGTCATTAGTCGGTCACGGCTATAGTACACCAATCCTCCATGCTTGCTTTCTGTAATCTAGTTAGTGTATGAAGATTATGGTTGCCCAGTGCCCATTTCAACAGTCCGATCACACAAAGGTCCATAGGCACTGCATCTGGTAAATGGACCAGTATGTCTTCACATGAAATAGATAAGTATCCATTTCACTCTCAATCTGCTTGAAATATGGGACGGTTGAACTAAGATATGACTGGAAGCCTTATCCTGGTGAAACCATACCATATTGGCCTCGTTTACAGACGAAGATCCTTCTTGTTTACCACTTCTAGGTTACGACTTATTTCAGTTTCTTGCTCGATAGTCCTGAATCCCCAAGTTGATCCACGTTCCCTTGTTTTCCAATGACATTAAGTACGAGGGATATTCTCGTCTTAGAAATACCAAATTTACGATTCGAACACGATCTGAGTGTATGAATATTTTACCTTTGAAAAAAGCTGTTACATATCCTTCTTAAAAGCGATCAATTTTCGATAGTAACACATTATACCGATGTAACGCTAAACAGTGTCAAAATCTGGTTCTAATACATTCCGTTCTAACGAGACATTATATCGGCTGTTTTTGTCATGCAACTTGGTGATTTACATATTCATAATCGTTTTAATATAACATACTCAACCGTGAAAGTGTTATTAATGTTCCAAGCATTTAATATCTGGATTGACAAAAAGTCAATCAGAACTATAATAACTGCTTGCAATATTACTAAAAACAATTTTCTTTCCACAGAAATTAATTTTATGATAATAATTAATGGGACATTCGAAAACTGTACCTTTGAATACAGAATACACATTATTAAAAGTAAAATAATGTGAACTAAAAAATACAGTCAGTCTTGGAACAAAGAAAATATCATAAGAATCTTACTTCCAACAAAATTCTACGAAAGGCGCTCCGGAAGCGAGTACTAGGGCGGAAGTGACGTGTCATCATAATCATCAGGGCAGCTTCATACATGGAAATCCTTAAAAAGGTATTATTGTAGAATTTGATGAAAATATATCAAAATACTCATAGATTAACAATGACTGAAATTATCATGTCTACTAAATACAAGTATAGATTGTTACAATATCTCAAATTATCATATCTACTAAATACAAGTATATATTGTTACAATATCTAAATTACCATATCTTCTAAATACATGTATAGATCATTACAATATCTAAATTACCATATCTACTAAATACAAGTATAGATTGTTACAATATCTCACATCGTATCATATCTACTAAATACAAGTATAGATTGTTACAATATCTAAATTACCATATCTACTAAATACATGTATAGATTGTTACAATATCTAAATTACCATATCTACTAAATACAAGTATAGATTGTTACAATATCTCACATCGTATCATGTCTACTAAATACAAGTATAGATTGTTACAATATCTAAATTACCATATCTACTAAATACAAGTATAGATTGTTACAATATCTAAATTATCATATCTACAAAATACAAGTATAGATTGTTATAATATCTAAATTACCATATCTACTAAATACAAGTATAGATTGTTACAATATCTCAAATTGTCATACTAACTAAATACAAGTATAGATTGTTACAATATCTAAATTATCATACCTACTAAATACAAATATAGTTTGTTACAATATCTAAATTATCATATCTACTAAATACAAGTATAGATTGTTACAATATCTCACATCGTATCATATCTACTAAATACAAGTATAGATTGTTACAATATCTAAATTACCATATCTACTAAATAAGGTATAGATTGTTACAATATCATTGCTCATACTTTGACGACTCAATCATCCCGAATCAGGGTTTGCAATAGTACCGGCGGTACCAGGTTGCCGGTACTCGAGCATCTCTAGTCATGTGACTTGAGCAGTTAGAAATTGAACTAATCTTCGCAGTGTGAGTTCGTGGGATTTTTTTTTTTCACATCAAACCAAATTGTCATTTATCTGTAAGCTCGCGTGGTATGACGACTATGACAATAAATCATTTTAAATCTAGGCTTTCTATTGGTTATAAATTTAATGAGAGTCGGCCTCAGAAAAATCTATTGGTAAATTGTAAATTAGAGCATGTTAGAAGGCGTGGAAAGTGTTTTTTTGAATTTTCGTTGTTTGCTGTTTATCCCCATAAGATTGAAGAATATAAAAATTTAGCTTCAGAATATTGATGACAAAATTATAGAGAATATTTTACGTTACATTTCGTAGTTTTCTAGGGTGTCCCGGGGTATAGAAAAATATCCAAATTCTCACACTAGGGGAATTTGAGGTTTTTAAATATTTCCTTATATAATTAACAACCTAAAACGTATATAATATTAAAATCTGATTTATTATCTATGGTTTGATATCAAGTTTGTTTGTATACCATGATAATTAAGTAGTTTAATTTTGAAGGTAACTCACTAAAACGTCGTGACATGTGAAGTTTGACCCTGCCTGCATGCTAAGGGTTAGTCACGCACGCACCTACCTAACGTGCAATCACTCACGTAGGCACATTCACGTTCTCTTCCAGAGCATGGGAGTCATCAGTTTCCCATATTTCACGCTATTGCTGATTCGCTTATCGATTGAAGTATGAAATCAAAACTACCACATCAAACATTTATGATTCTGTGAAAAGCGATTCTGAAATACCAGAGAAGGCATTCAGTCAAAACTCCGAAGATGGCACATGTAATAACAGTTATTATTCTCAATATATGATATACTATAAACCAGTACCGGTACTGACGGTCCGGTAGCGTTACCGACTGCAAACCCTGTCCCGAAATATGTCGACAAAGTCGAGAAATTCAAGATTTTATCCAATTCAAAAGTTATTAAAAGCATGCATGAAGTTTAAACTTTAGAGAAGCCTAAAATTAGATGAAGAAATTTAGGTAAACCAACTACAGGTATCTTTAATTTTGGCAGAATGTCATTTTCGAGGAAAACTTTGATAGAGCATGGAAATAATTCTTCGTATAAACAGGTAATGTTCGTTTGTTTATGACTATCTGGTTGTTGTTTTTTTTTTATCTTTGTGTGATCAGTTCTTGTTGTTGGATGTATGCTATTGTAAATAGTCGACCACTTTTTGGTATTTTCAGGCTTCGTGTACTGTTAAAACGTGTGGATATCAGAAGCTCAGGACAGGTTTGTATGTACATTGTTAAGTAATAACATACTGTATTTTTATAGTTAGCTTCACTGGTGTTATTAGTTAACAGTTATTAAAATACTTTTTCAATATTTTTTTTTTACTGATTTTACAGTTGAGAAAAATTATTTTGCATTTTTATCTTAGCATATGAATTTAGAAACAACATACGACTGAAAATATCGTTAACAACAAGTGTAATCACCTGACAATTCGATGTATTATAGGTTTTAGTTTTCTTGTGTACATATTAATAAATGATACAATATTTTATTTTATTTATAGAACTGGATTTATTAATTCATGGGTTAATAGTTTGTTCTGATACATATGGTACTCTGTACTCGATTCTCAATGTGCAGGTCACGGGTTCGAATCCCGTCACCTCACAAGGTCGCCATTTCAGTCATAGGGAAGTTATAATGTGACGACTAATCCCACTATTCGTTGGTAAAAGAGTAGCCCAGGAATTGGCGGTGGACGAATTTGATTAGCTGTCTTCCCTCTAGTCTATCACTTCAAAATTAGGGACGGGTAGTCCAGATAGCCCTTGAGTAGCTTTGCGCGAAATTAAACAAACCAACAAATATCCATATGGTACCCAATTTTGATTAGAAATTATTAAGTAGTAATATAGCAGTTTTTGATAATTTGTATGCTAACTCAACGACTTTTAAGCTAACCAGTTTATTTTGATATTTGATTTGAGTCTCAAAGATTATAAATATATCCCATGAAGTACCGTTACATAGTAACATAAAGAGAAATAGACCATCACCGTCTGTGATAGTCCCGGATACTTTCATCTACTGGACGAACGGGTTGTGACGTCACTGTAGTTTGGGCACATTCGTCAATTTCATCATTGAATGGCACTGAAATATCGAACAAAAATCATAATTTAAGTACTAAGAAATGATTAGTGAAAGTAAAAAAGAATTTATAACAACCTATCAAACACAGCACCGACAAGGTCTTTCGCCCAACATAAACGGCATGCTACCCTTATAGTATAAATACAATGTAACATACAAATAAACTCAGATATTAGTAGGATTTCCACGACATGTTAATATTTATATTAGGTCGTCAAGAAATTAATGTCGCTATTTTTTAGATGATAAAACCGAACAACTTATATATAATCAAAACAAAACATTTATTAAATGAAATAGTCTCTATTCTTATCGATGATGCTTTTCCATCTTACAATCAGGCTGTTAATGCCCTGATTAAAGAAATGACTTGGCTTTGAATAAAAAAACATGTCGATGTCCTCTATAACACCTTCCACATCTGCATAAGTTTTCCCATTAAGATGGTGTAGCAGCGAACGAAAAAGATGGTAATCTGATGGTGCCATATCTGGAGAATATAGTGGGTGGGGAGAACTTCCCAACCCAACTCCATAATCTTGTGTTGGGTTAAACGTGCCACACGTAGACGTGCATTGTCGTGGAGAAGAACACCTTTCCGATTGACGAGTGAAGTGCGTTTCTGATGAAGGCCTTGATTTAAACGTTTCAGTTGCTGACTATAGATCTCTGTATTGATAGTTCGCTGTGGATTGAGGAGCTCGAAATGAATTACTCCTTTGATGTCCCACCAAATGCAAAGCATTACTTTCTGCGGATGGAGTCCAGGTTTTGGGGTCGAAAGTGGCATTGGTCTAGGACTGAGCCATTGTATTTAGCGTTTAATATTCGCACAGAGAATCTATTTTTCATCACCGGTGACAATCTGTCCAAAAATGGTTCACGCACATTACGCGCCAGAAGAGACGAAGCAACTTTCACACGTTAGAAACGATGATCATTGGAGAGTTCGTGAGGCACCCAAACACCTTCTTTATGAAGTTTTACCATGTTCCTTAGATGTTTATGTATTGTTTCATGAGAAACATGCAATTTCAGGGCCATTTCAC